CCTTGTGCAACCTGGCAAGCCCCATGCAAGTTTTTCTTCCTTTGTTTAAAAGTCTGTGACTTTGCTCTCGCCATAATTAATTGAAGTCGAACAAATGCAGTACCAATTTTGACTGTGTTCTTCACCTCCCTTAAATGGCTCTACAATAGTAATTCCTCCAGTGATCTTTATCGATGCATCTAAAGCGTAGTCATTATACAAAAATGATATACCTATCAAATTATGGAAAGCATTATTCTTATTTAAAGGCATCATAGGGAGTTTCATTTTATTTCGCCTTTTTACAATCTTCACGCCACTATTGTACCCCGTGCAACATATAAAAATGAAACATTAGGCAAGATTATACAAAGGCCATACCTAGTATCGCGAAGGCTCTAATTAAAACTTCACATGAGCTTAAACAAGAAGATTTTCAAATGTGTTGATTCTACTTATCGGACTTTAAAGAGCCAACATTTGGCATGAATCATTTTTTTTCAAATCTATGAGTCAGAGAGATTTCACTAATCGGCTTGTCACCTGAATCTCTGTGACACTCATGACTTCTGACCAAGTATCTTGACCCTCCCTAAATGCAGTACATTCGATGCTGTCTACTCACCGAGTCAATACTCCCTGGGTGATCAATCGTATGCAATTATCTGATCCAACAAGTCTATCCTCCTCTCTTTGAGTACACTGCTATATATATATATATATATATATATATATATATATAATTTTAATGTCTTGGGATTATTAACTAAATTATCATAATGCGAAGACTATCATTTGAGATTTTTGGTATTTTATTGCCTCGGAAGATTTGTATAGGATATTCTCGAGCGGCGGTTATGCTGTATTGAATTGCTCGTCCACATCTGTCAATGCGGAGAAATGGTCCTGTTAAATGTCTTAATCAGCCATATAAATTATCAGTTGTTCGTTTTCTGTGCATAAATACTTTTAGAAGTTTTGCGCGATACAAGAACTGTGAATAAGCCATTTCGGGCCTATCTGCAAAGTTCAAAGCCTTTGATGGAAGAAGCTCTTTTTCTAATTAATCTCAAAAATCGGGAGTAAATGGGAAGAACATATCACTGATACAATATATTGGTCCAAAGTATCATTATAAGACCTTCTTTTCTCCTATAATTTTGAGATGATCACATTATATCTGTTTTATCGATAGCTATAATGGGGCCAAGGAAGTGTTAAGTAGATAGCAATAAAATTTTCGTATGAATGTTTTATAAAACTAAAGATTTTTAAGGAATTTGTATTTAAATCTATCTGCTTTAAATCAAATAGCATAGAGTAGTAAATAAAGCTGGCAAAACCACAGATCACATTCGATAATCACCATAACATTCTTTATTATTCTAAGATATGCTCTTAAAGTGCTTAAAATATTTAAAGGCTCTTAACAATAGTCAGTAAACGGAAAAATATAACAAATTAAGTCTTTGGGTTTTTTGGAAAATTTTCGAAGTAGTTCCTAGCGATGACGTGTCAAATAATATAATTGTAAAATCTATAACTCCGATTACAACTTGAAAACTTTAGTAGAACTGAAAAACATCGTACCAGCTTCGAATTATCAAGTAAAATTGAAATGCTAGATTTTTTGCAGTTAATGAAATAGTTATTTTATTCTTCTGTCATTTTGGAATCAGCCTCATAAATTACCAAGCGAAGTAACCTCAAAATAAAGGCGAATTTATGAAAACATCGCGTCAACCAATTAGAATTTTGTCGGTTAATCATTAACGTTGCATATGCAATGTCAACAGGAAAATTGACCTCATATATTGATTCAATTGAATTATATACAGAAAAACCGGTTTTATTTCACGGATATGTTTGGCCTTTCGTTGCATTTTATGGAATATGGTTTGGCTACTGGTCACAAACTCTCGGCGTTACCGAATACTTGGAGTTAGGATTAATAGGAGTTGCAGTTATTGCAGTTCTTCAAGTACTAACGGCATTATTTTGCTATTGGTTTGTGTCAGTTCGATGCCTTCTCATGTTTAGAAAGGTAACTCAATTTTTTACTTTATGCCCATTAGGAAAAACACATATCTCGAGCCAGTTATGCCAAAGTTTCTCCTCCCGCAAATTCTGGATATACGTCCATTGTTCCTATTATTCATAAAAAGGTTTTGTGGCTTATTTGTTTCTATTAAATTTTAGAGCCTTGCTTCTCAGGAGGTGGTGCATTATTTCTATTTTCAACGGCTAAAGTACACCTTTGATTCTGATGACAAAGACAGTGTACACGCTGTTAGATTCCCCCTATCTTGGAAGCTTAAGGAGTACATGGATTGGCGCGGCTATTCTAATGAGGACGATGTCAAGATAGCAAAAGAAACTTATGGAGATAATCATCTGCGTCTCACCGTACCTCCATTCAGAGAACTCTTTTTAGAACGTGCTACGGCTCCCTTCTTCGTTTTCCAAGTTTTCAGCGTCTTCCTTTGGTGTTTGGATGAATATTGGCTCTACCCAATAATGACATTAGGTCTTCTTATCCTCTTTGAAAGCGGGCTGGTTATGCAACAGCTTAAGAACTTGCGGGAAATTCGATCTATGAGTGCCCAACCCTACAAAGTTAACGTCTATCGTAATAAGAAGTGGATGCTTCTTTCGAGTGAGGAGATTGTGGCTGGCGATATTGTGTCGGTGACACAGTCAGTTCATGAGAAACTAATTCCATGCGATTTACTGCTTCTTCGAGGTACTTGCATTGTCGATGAATCTATGCTTACTGGTGAATCAATTCCTGTTACTAAGGTTAGTCGTTAAAATTACTTTCACATAAACGCTTTATACGTTGACTCTTCATGCTAGATCACATCTCATAATACTTTCTTTTTTAAATCCTTCTTTTAATATTTATTTCTCACCATTTGGAGGGTCCGTTTTAATTTATATGGGAAATTTATTCTGTTATTTCCTCATCCATTTTGATTCCTCATTTATCTTTTTATTAAAAAACCTACCGCAACTAACTGTTACCCTTGATCCATCTTAAGTGAAGACGAGATGTCATTACACACAACTGACTGATAATTTTGTTATGCTAGCATCATTAAAAGCAGTTAATTATTGCAAACACCATAGAATATCTTAACTGTCACTCCTAGCGAGGGATATATGCTCCTTTCGAAATGTAATCCAAAAAAGAAGAGAAGATATGATATACTTCTTATTTAAATACTCACATTGATCAAGTCAAGTTCGACTGTTGGTAGTGCCATGTTTGTTGTTTTATGCATGGCGTGGATAATAACCAAATTGCATGCTTGTGTGCTGCTAAAGAATGTTCTTGTCTAATTAAATAGTCGATTTAGTCAACATCAGCCTATGCAGCCGTTGGCAATTGAAAGTTTTATAACTTTTCAGCTGCCCCTTATTAAAGCTACAGCTATTCAGGTTCAAAGAGGATGGACAAGAAGGCATAGCTCAAACGACGACGTCTTATGAACAAAGAAAAATTGATTGCATAGTCTTGAATAATGTGAAGCAATTGTTCCCTTGTCAGCTAATAATTGCACCAACGCCTACTCTTCAAGTGGCCTCAAACATCCAGATGCGAGTGTGAAAATACAATAATTGCAAAAATTTCGAGTGCAACAAAAATATTTCATTGGGCTTCCTAGCAGATTGCTTCTCAATGAGAATAATATCATCTTTTGCTTTTGCCTCATGGGAATTAATATAAGGCTTGATAATGGTATCCTTCTAATTGCTTGAAATCCTTTTTATGTTGTAGGAGCCCGTGGAAGGTCTCACCAATTTGAAGCCTATAACTTTCAGTGAAGATGACAAAATGCACGTCCTCTTCGGAGGCACGAAAATTGTCCAAATGACACCACCAACCAAGCAAAGTGGTATTCCTAAAGGTATACGATTTTTCACCTTCAATCCTCTTTTCCTACTAACCCTTATACTACCTGATCTTAACTTTTTCTTGTGTCCTTAAAGCTCCTGATGGCGGGTGCCCCTGCTTTGTGCTGCGTACTGGACTGAGCACTTGCCAGGGTCGTCTACTCAAAACTATCATGTTTTCTGTGAAGGCTGTCACTGCTAATAATCTCGAGACATTAGCTTTCATTGGTTTCCTCCTGATATTTGCTCTGGCTGCTTCTGCTTATGTCTGGATTGTTGGTAAGTTAACATTTGATTAGTAGGAGATTATGTCATTTGTTTAACACGGGCATATTTCCATTTCTGCTTAATCGTCAGCTCGTGTACTAAGATCAAAGTTTCAGTTTATTTGAGAAATGTTTTATTCAATGTACCGTTAGTAAAATATGTACTCTTTGCTTTAATTGCTGAGACGCTTTTTCATAGTCGTTTTATAAAATACATTAGTTATGCCAGTGATCATTAACAACCGGTTTTATTGGTAAATTACGACATATATGAATTAGCTTTTTCCCCACAAGTATACACGGTGTATTGGCACAGTTCGCTTCGCTAGTACTAACTATTCAGACTGGCTGAGCATTGACCTAGTTTCAAATTCCCTTCTTGTTGTTGTACGAAACCAGTCTTCATTGGATATATATATATATATATATATATATATATAGGGTAGATGTGCTATCCCATATAAACGCTACAAGTTGTATGATCATTTCCGGATATTGGACCACTACACTTTTATTTCTTCGCCTTAAGATGTTTTTTTTTGAGTTACTTCTAGTGAAATTGGCTAACAACTTTGGTGATTCTTGGAAATACTGGACTGAAATGTATTTAAATGTCGAAATCGGCTGCTTATTTATTGATAGTATAAACTTTATCCGAAAAGTGAGGTAGACAAAATTAGCATACTTTATGTCGGCTGATAGAAAAGAACTCAAACGCACTAGACTTGCTCTTGAGTTGTCATAAATTTGTCATTTTGTTTTCAATTCCATCAACATCGATGAACTACTAGCCTTTAGTGTCATTTAGTTAAGGTATTGACCTAGACATACTTGGTTCACCTAGAATTATGGACCAACAATAGACAAGTATCTATTACAAATAATAATTTTACACGCTTTCTAAATCTGTCCCGAATAAGTCCTATTAATTCCTTGATTTAGCCATGAGTTCGGTTTGAAGTCCGCTCTCCTTAGTCCTCAAATCCGGATGTGTGTTTCATGATACTTAAAGCCAAACTCCTTAAGAAGAGCGTCGTCAACAACGACTAGCTGCTTCCCACCTTTTCTCACTTAATCCTAGCATAATCCGCACTGTTTTGTTTATTATCCATCTTAGGCACTGCTGATCCTCGTAGAAACCGTTACAAGCTTTTCCTTGAGTGCACACTGATTATCACCTCAGTGATTCCGCAGGAATTGCCCATTGAGCTCTCCTTGGCTGTCAATACCTCGCTTGCCTCCTTGTCTAAAATGTGTAAGTTCATAACTACTTGCTTCTTTTGAATTTGGAGAAGAGAAAAAGCATCAATAATACTTGTCCCGAGTGGTGTCTATTTTAATCCAATCGAGTGAATCCATATATTCAGAGGCGGATTTCTCTGCGACGATATCGGTGTCACTGGGCTATCTATGGCGGTTTTGGGAGCCAAAAGCACAATTACTCTAGCATTAAGTGACCCATTAACCTGCTCACACACATTTACCTGTTAAAGATACTGTTGTGTTGATGATTAATCTTATTCACATATCCATGCACCTCTGTTTGACTCTTCTTCGCCTTGTTGAGACACCGCTTCCACAATCCCATATCGTGTTATCCACGAGCACTATGTATGACTTTGTATTTAAATGATTGTAATGTGAATGGCTAAGGTCTGACTGAGACATTCAGGCGTTAAAAATCCGGTGTACTTGCGGTCCTTGAAATGACGGCTTAATATCAATTTTCTACTTCTATTAAAAGTCTTATTAAGCATCATAGCTGAACAAAGAGCGAACAAAGATCGCATCTTGATGGGAATAAAATTAAGTCTCCATATTCGGTTATTAAGTTGGTTGCAATGCAGATGTTGTTGTGATGGAGTTACCATATTGCTGCTTTGAAATAATAATAGTTCGGAAAAACACCTCAAGACATGATGAATATGATGAGGTTGACTTAAAGTCATCAGCATTGCGTAGCTAGACGCGATGGGCTAAGAATACCATTTAACTATGACAGAACTTCTTTGCAATTTCTCTCTGAACCTCGCTATTCCATGCCATCTTGCTCTATTTTACGAAGGAGTGACGCACTGATTTTGCTAATAAACGCCTGCCTTTTTCATTTTTATTTGACGAGCATTTACTCTATCAATTCTCCAAAGTCATTGGCGAGAAAATTGTCATATAAACTTAATGGAAATTGTAAATTTTTGTGTGAAGTTTTATGTTCACTATTTTACTTAATTCGTAAATAGAAATATTCAAGGTTCTATTATGCAATTATGGGGCTTTTAATACCTCTCGAAATTGTTTTATCCTGTTTTAAAAATCCAATACCTCTGAGAGTTCATGATTTCTTTGCATTTAAACTGCAATCTTAACTAGGCTATCTAAAGAGGACAACTTGACACTCAACCTCCAGATATTGTATTCACATATGAACAAGACATTAGTTCGACCAAAACAGATATGAATAGGACAATTTGTGACGCAATGCCTTCAACTTTTTGACTTACTTCACCTCTTGTTGCGATAGAAGTGGCGCTGTTTATTCAAACTGATACAAACAAAATATGCACTTTTGAATGCGTTAGGACCAAGTTCATATCTGATACGCCCGCACGTTTGTTCATGCCCTATGAGCACCTCATAACTAATACATTGACCCCATTCGATGAGTATTTTTTCGCTCACACTTTCTCTGAATGCTCTACACCAAAGTCTTTATTAAATGAGCTTGACAATCTGTGTTGGCTCCAGGCCCTTATAGTTAGTAGAAAGGTAAGGATTATTAAGTGGGTGGGTGGTGGATGGATAGAAGAACACTATTCCAGACGATCTGGTGACATTTTGATCTTATTTGCCTTTACTCTTATAAATGTTTTGGAAAATTATTTTAAGCTTAGAGTATAAACGAGTCAGCAAGTTTTGCAAGTTTCAAAGTGAGCTCTATTTCATCAATTTTAATGGAACATATTGAGCCATTTGGCTAGTTTACTTGAAATTGAATGCTATACAGCGTTTCTTATGGACAATATTTTTCAAAGTAAGATGTATAATATTCACTCCTTAAATCAATAATTTGTAGAAATTGACAATAAAATGATTCTAAACTCTATCTTTACTATGCATGCTACAGGAATAAAAGAACCCATTGTCAGTTTCATTGAATGCTTTACTAGAAATTGGCGGAATGTATTTTACTTGATGATAATTGTGCATGTAGACGCAGAATATGTTTCAGCGTGTTTCAAAATGTAATTTCAGTTTAAAAATTCACACAGATTCTCATAGTGTAAGTTGGCTCAGTCTTCAATCAATTGAATAATTTCGTATATGAGGTAGAAATGGATACCATTAAACTATATTGACGAAGTTAACGAATATCGAATGGTAGTCGTTAATTAAGAAACTCGGATATGCTTAATTTAGCCAAAATGGAATCTTGGCCCTTACTTTCATCAAGGTTTATTCTAATCCTTCAAAAACCCCAGATCGAAGCTATGGATTTATATTGCCACTCCTATTCATTTGGATGAAGCAGAGTTTGCTATTCGCGTTTGATTTTAATTCTAGTTATCTACTGCACTGAGCCATTTCGTATTCCTTTGGCCGGTCGAGTGGATATTTGCTGTTTCGATAAGACTGGTACACTTACCGAAGACGAGGTTGTCGTGGAAGGCGTTACTGGCTTAAAGTAAGTCCCTTTTCTCTGGGGTTTTGTGTTATTTAATTGCCTATAATATGGTGTCCTTAACTATCGTCAATTTTCAGCGGTGAATTGGCTGAGCGAATTGTCCCTGTTCGGAAGTGCCCTCTACCTACTGTTCAGGTCCTAGCTTCTGCTCACGCTCTCGTTCACTCCGACAGCGGACTTCTTGGTGATCCTCTGGAGAAGGCTATGCTAAAGGCAGTTGGTTGGAATCTTAATGCTGAAGGAGTAGTATTTGGCAAATCTGTCCCCCGTTCACCTCCACTTCGCATCTATCAACGGTTAGTAAAGTCTCAACACTACTGGATATTTATAAGTAGATATAAAGTTAACGACTATTGAACATTTAGATTCCGATTCACCAGTCAACTGAGACGCATGTCTACAGTGGTTGGCTATCAAGGCACTACCGATGTGGATTTGAGTTACATGGTTTGTGTCAAGGGTTCTCCTGAGGTCCTCAAATCAATGTTTATTGATGCACCACTGGACTATGACGACGCCTATCTACAAATGGCCCGCAGAGGAGCTCGTGTACTTGCTCTGGGTTATAAAGAGCTTGGTCGACTTAGTCATCAAGAAGTGAGTTTTAGACTTTTTCAATATGCTTTAATAACCGATCAGTCTGCTAACAGTGTTCCATTACATCATATACAGGTTCGTGAGCTGAAACGTGAGAATTGCGAGTATGATCTCAAATTCGCAGGTTTTGTGGTGATCTCCTGTCCATTGAAACCGGATTCACTGCAAGTCATCCAAATGCTCAAGAATTCTTCGCATCACATCACTATGGTAACGGGTGATAATCCGCTCACTGCGTGTCATGTGAGTGATCTTTTAGGAATCACACGGAAGGATACTCCTGTATTAGTCTTCACACCGCCGAATGAATTAGGTAGGCCTTTTTCAATGTTTTTACGTTTTTGAAATGGAAGATTATTTCTCTGTTTTACAATTATTAGTATTAGCTACCTTAATACAAATCTGAAATGTAAATTTCGTAGATCAACATAGTCCGATTACAAATAAGCCCAATAAATGACGAAAGAGGATGATATATAAAATGGTCAGGTTGTACAATAACTACTTACTGAGTCCCAGGCTGATTACTTAGCTTCATATCATTTTCCCTTACGGTCGAGAAGGCGACTCGATCTTACGTGAAATTCATCAGTTTACCATCTTACATATATTCTAGACCTGCGAACAATTTTGTGTAGATGTATTAGACATTTTAATTTTTATTAGTTAGTACCTATCAGTGTTTAAAACTGAAATGCGAGAAAGTGAATAATAATGTGCCTTGCATGCTTGATTAAATCGCTACCATTTTCTGTAACCACATTTATGGCTTACTGGAACCCTCTGGAATTGACAATAAATTGCCCACTAATGCTTTTCCATTGTTCCCTCTCACTTTCTACCGGAAATTTCCATGCCAACGGTTTATGGATGTGGTGTGTTTTAACACCCCTCCCCCCTTTGCTATCTCCCTTTCCCTAACTCTCTCAGTTTTCACTCTCTTTCCACTCCTTTATCACTCTCCACTCTTTCGGTACTATCAATGGCCTAAGGGAATAAAGATAACAGAAAAAAAACTGTATTTGGGGACATTTGTGGATTGATAAGATCACGAGACTAATGGAGATGAAATAGCACTTGATTAGATTTGACTTACAGAGTTTTGTTTATGAATAATTACATGGGCTACTAGTAGTTTATGGATTTCCACCCGGGTCATCTGATTTCTTGATTTGTACTCTGCTACTGATTGGACGTGGTGGAATCCAATATTTTCCGCTCCCTAAATGGAGATTATAGAATTCTCTCTGGAAGCAATTCGTTTCCTCGGCACTCGATTCTATGATTATTGTTCCCACTTGCTCTTACATGACGACAAGTATCCTTACTAGTCTTTCACCGACTCTTCAGATATCTAATTATCTGTTTTTGCGGATACATCAAGGGTGTTCACGTACATTATGGTTCTTTTAAAAGTCTAAACTTCCATTCATGTACGAGGGTTTTGCCAACGAGAATACATGGCTGGAACCAACTTGAATCGTGTAGAAGAATAAGTTCTGTTATGGTGATTTGGGTGAGCCATTAAAAGTGAGATGATGTTGGCTGTCCAATGCTCCCTCGACACTGTGAAAACAACCGGGGAGAAAGTGGAGAATTGTAGTGGAGACTACGATGCTGCTGTGACTAGAGGAAAGCAATATAGCAGTCGATCTGATCTAGTTGTGTTCGCACAATAAAACTTCGTGGTAATAGGGTGTTTCAGTCACCACCAGGAAACTTTCACTCAATGATGACCTTCGCTACTAAATCGCCTTAGAAGTGTTGCAGATGTGGATTCTCGCAGTAAAGGCCAATGCAAAAGTGTATGATAAAGACGAAAAGGCTTCTGAGCACAATAGAACATCTTCCAGAAACACTGGTAATCTGGTTTATTTCTGAAAAGAAAACAGTTTTGAAGGTGTGATATGTTTGGTTGCATGTAGTCCACTGGACACCCCTCGAGTCTTGCAAACTAAATTTGCTCAAAAATGTCGTAGTTTTCGAAAGTGTATCCTCTTCTGTTGCTAGGGCTGATGTGGTGCTCACTTCCGCATTTCTTTTCCAAGTGGAGCTTAGGCTGTATTCAAATGCTTGCGTCAAGTGTTAACCTCTGTAGTAGCTAAGCCCTGTCATATATATGACGTCATCAACATTCGGCCCTCTAGCACACCTCAGGAAAGATTAAAAAATGTGTTTTAGCCAATTTTTACGTCTGCACCAGTCTCAATGCTAGGTTCCTCCCCCACTCCTCCTCTCCCTTCAACAGTATGTCTTAACTGGATGGACGATTACGTCTAGAAGGGCGCCACGTAGAAAGGCATTAAATGCTGTGCCAGTACAACAAGAGCCAGTTAGTCTCCAGAATGAAAGTGGCTTCTTGGACCACACCAAGGAGAAGTGCACAATCAACTTGCGACTATTTTCGGTTAATCTCTCACAATAGTGTAATTCCCTTGTTTTTTTTTCAATTTTTTTAACCTCTTTCTTTTTCCTATTGATACTCTCAAGTTAATTTCAAGCACCCACCTTTGACCTTGTCATCCCCTGTGATCACAAGGACGTAAAGACCACCCGGCTACAACAACACATAGCATCATCATGAAAGCGTATTGTCACACAAAATTTCTCCTCTTATTTTTAACTCTTGTTTTGCATGATGTACATTCTGCAGTGGAATCAATTGTTTTTTTTATGCAGGAAAACTTAAAATCAACCCATTTGGCAACCGAGTAGATGAGCTATTTATTTTCTGCAATAAAGAAGGTGTATTGCTATTTTATTTCTCTTTCAAATGTGTGTGCTGTGATCTTTAGCTTCACTTGCAAGTTCAAGTTACTTCTCTCTCTCTCCCTCTTTCCCCATTTTGTCCAGATAAGCGCTCAAACATAAAAATAATTTTTGAAAATGTTAAAGTTCAATCAATCTGCCTCCAACGTAGTATTTTCATTGCTTATTAGATATCATGATCTTTCCTTTTTCATGGTACTGGATAGCTCATAAGTGTGATGCTATCAATGTACAGCCATTTCTGTTGAAGAGAAGTACAATACTTGAAGAGCATTTTTGGCTGAAATCAAACAAATTATTGGCTTATTTTCTCTGTTATTTCATAGATATATATGTAAGTGTCGTCTTAATGGCGATCTTGTCTTCTATTCACTCCTTATTACCAGTATAACTCACTACAATGTTGAAAATGTAAGACCTTCATTGTGTTAATCAGCTGCGATCGCGTGTGAGGTTCAATAAGAAATAAGGGTTGGAAGAAAACCATCAAAAGCGTAAATTCATTTTTGTTTTAACATTTAATTATCTCACCTCCTAAAGCTCATGAGTAGTCACGTGGACTACTAATATTGTGTCCACACTATAGAGCTTTTTTTGACAAGTGATTAGTTTATGATGGCCAATTTTGTCGTCTCATCTTGTTTCTTTGTCCGAAGAATATATAAAAACGGAGTAATTATACATGATCATAAGCGGTTTAATTGACCCTATCATAGAAGAGCTAACAGGCTGGAGCTCGCTTAATTAGCTTCTCAATTGCCCCTCCCTCCAATTTTCGACTTCCAGCGCAATGAGCTTCCTTTATCTTTAACTTATTCAGAAACAGCCACTGTCCCATTTCTATTTAGATGCTTGAAAACATATCAGGAAGTGTACTCTAATCTATGCTGTGATTCTAAGTTTTAGCCATTAAATCGTACTCTGAATCAGAGGTTAGAGAAAAAAACCCATTAAGAAGGGAGATAGGAGCTTTTGTCTAATGCCGAGCTGTGGTTATTGCGATCAGTGGTGACTCGGCGTTTTTACCTACACAGATATTAGTAAAATTTGCCCATTTTCTCCGAATGAATTATGAAATTAAATTCAAATCAACGATTAAGTGGCACTACTTCCGAATGGTGAGTAATTTCTACAATCATAAATAAAGATAAAACGGAGGGAGAGAGAAAGTATAGACATTGATCTCGCAGTCAATGAGCTAAAAGTGTACAGGCAGAATGACAAAAAAATAAATAAAGTGGTAACGATCATGGTGCTTTTGGAAATCGTGAAAGCTTTACATTGGTTGCACGTCAAGTTCCCTGCAAACCACCTAATTTCATAATTGCATTCTTTCCAGATGAGAAATGGCATTGGCAATCCGTTGACGATAAAATCTTGGTCCCACTTGGAAATGAGTCTTCTACCCTCGAGCTAGCTCGAAAACACGAGCTCTGTCTCACCGGGGATGGAATTGAGGAGTTGCGTCGCCAAAATCCTGCCGGTGAATGCCGTGGTCTCCTCGCTTACATCTTACCCAAAACCAAAGTCCTTTCTCGTGTTGCGCCTTCTCAAAAGGAGTTTGTACTCGCAAGTCTTCGTGGACTGGGATATACTACCCTCATGTGTGGCGATGGTACTAATGATGTCGGTGCTTTAAAACAGGCTCACGTTGGTAAGTGGAAAGATTTCTATTTGATGGCACTTCTGCTATCTATCATTTAAGAGGTTTCATACATTATTTAGATGGATAATTTAATCAGAAAATTGTTTCTTTAACATAAGAAGCTTTAAGTTCTAACTTAGTGTAGATTCACTATGTCTGGTGATTGATTTGCTTCCAACTTGTGCAATCTTGTCAAGGCTGTAAACTTAAGATGTCATTATTCCGAAAGGCCACTTGAATGCAAGATCTACTACGGAGGGGGTGGGGGGTGGGGTGGAGACGTTGGACAATGATCCAAAGAAGATCCGCTACTCTCCGACTTTATATTTTTATTTAGTAGTAAATGAAGTATATGCAATCCGTGATGATTTGAGAGTCAGAGTGCTGTGTTTTTCGAAACGCGGATGTTCGTTGGGACACTTTGAATATGGAGATGATATGACTTGTCTTTCCACTGATTGAACAAACTCAACTCTCTCAAGGACTTAAAATTACTCTCGTCAATTATGCGTTGGGGATGTCACAATATGAACGTCGGTATATACCTAGATCGATGATATCTCTATAAGTAGTCAGAAAACTGTTCTAGTGACTTTATTTGCATATCTCGGTTCACGAGTGCCAAAGATTAAGGTTTGAACAGGGCCATCGAAAATACCAATCAAACATATTAGTACTGTTTATCTACAGTTGCCTATTGCAAGATGAGTGACAATAGGTTGAAAGTTGTTCAGAACACTGTTCAAAGACTGGCATAGGTATTAAATATCGAAGTGAAGACGCCTCTACGCGAAGCCTTGCCTCGCAATTGCAAAGACGAAGACGTAGTCTATAGGCAGGTCTTCACCGAAACGGTGACATATTGGGGGGGGGGGGGGGGGGGGGGGGGGGGGGGGNGGGGGGGAGGGAGGGAGGGAGGGGAAGCTCTTGAATTCCCACTTAATACAAGTAAGTGCCTGCAAATCTGCATAAAAATGAGTTGATTAAGGCAGTTTCAGGCAGTTAAGCGGCGAGAAATAAGGCAAACTTTAGGTGATGATGATGATGATGAATTCTAAGTAGAATTCAATTTTCTCCTATGTTTATCATCAACCATAAGTAAAAGGTGTATGTGAAAGAGAAGTGGTGTGCGTGGATTCTCGTATCATCATCTCTTTGCGAGTGAAGGTTGGTGAGGGGACATTGGCGATGATTGGCTAATAAACCTCTGTCCAGTGGATGGATGGTATAAAAGTTTCCCCACGCGGTTCGATGAGCTAAAAGGTAAGAATAGGTATGAGGAACTTCAAATTTTATTACATGTTTACCTCCTAATGATGGAGTCCAGATGAGGTGGGACTCTACCTATTTCCTTACTTTCACTTCTAACATTTTGTCTAAAATTTCCTCTAAAAGTGGAAACACTCCTCTTTATAAACTCCACTTCTAATGTGCTTGATTATTTGCCCATAATTAAAAGTTGTAAAGTTCTCTTTAGCCCTGTCACCGTCTTGAATAAACTTATTTTCCGTCTCTGGCTTTTAAATTGGGGTAGCATTACAAAATATTGCCTATAATCTGGGCTGTCTACTGTGGCTTAACTATTCTACAAATGTATATATTAATAGGGAGGGGGGTGGGGTGGGGTGGAGACCATTTGATTTTCTAGTTAAAAGCAGTAGCGTCGAAATTGTGTCTCTAGTCTTGAAAACCATTGTGGGGAGTGTGAAGCAAGCAGACTCTGATCATTTGCACCGTAAGTATTCGAATTCGCTTCCTCACTGGTAGTTAGCTTCGAACTGAACGACCTATTTGAAAATAGAAAGACAGACATGATTCGTAGATAAGCTGACTCAAGGTTTGTCCCCATTTGTTTCCATCAAGCTCACCATTCCTTACTTTGTGAATGTACCTCTTGCTCCACATTGGCACTTCTCATTTTAGGCAGTCGTCAACTCTACACTGATATTTCTCCAATTAGGCTATTTTTATTTGTAGGCGTCGCTCTCTTGAATCAAGCTCCACTTGTCCTCTCTCCCCAGAACGGAATGAAGTTAACACAGCCAGCTGCAAAACCCACGGCTCCTCAATTGCCACCGCCGGGAAGACGAGGTAATCAGCTGTCGGATTCAAGGAAAGCCTGGGAAGAACTCGCAGCTTCTGGTGAAGATGAGGCAGCTGTAGTCCGATTGGGAGATGCCAGTATAGCTGCTCCATTCACTGCCAAGATGTCATCAGCCATTGGGGGTGAGTATGACTATTTCAAATAAATAGCTAGGTAGAGTGGTAAAGGCATACAATTATCGCACAATACACTTGCTGGCATTGTAATGGCTTAATATCAATAATTCAGAAGCAATGAGTTATTCACTTTTCATATCTTTGAAAGATATACAAAAGTTAGTATCTCAATTGTTGTCACCTTGTGGTTAACTTATGTTGCATCAGCGGTGTTTTTTGTCATTGCATCAATTGAAATGCGTTTAACCAAATTTTAACAGCCGAAATTGCTTGCACAATGTTAATATCTTATCGCATGAAACGGATTCCCTTTTCTCTAGTGGGAGATTCAAATACTGAAAGGTTAATTATTCACTCTCTTTTTGCATTGTCTATATACAGATTGATTCAATCACTTTGAATTGAGGTTGGTGACAAAGTGACAAAGTAAACAAGTAGACCAACTAATTCCCAATGCAGGAATGATTGAAATGACGTTGTTTTTTTCTCGTTTGGTTTTTCTACCTTTGAATTAGGGAGGGGGGGGGGGGGGGAGGAGAGGGTTTTTCTACCTTCATACAGGTACTCGAATTGTGTGTGTGTGTTGTCTACTAACTCAGTTGTCAAATAAGTATCTCTAACAACTAATCAGAAAGTAGGAGTGGCCTATGTCCCAACCAAAAGTTGCAAAGGCGAAGGTGAAATAAATTATTGAATACAATGCCTGCTATGCATCATAATATAATTTAAGAAAAATGGGCTGTAAGTGCGCTAAGTGTTTACGTCTTCAGTCCCCTCGTAGCCTTAAAAATAGATTTCTTGGGGGGGGGGGGTTCGGATTACGCTTTATGAGGTAGACCGCTATGGTAGCGCCATTGCACTTTCTCATTAGCGCAATTTATATTTCTCTTTCCTCAGTGTGCCACATTATTCGTCAGGGGAGAAGTACACTAGTGACTACTCTGCAAATGTTCAAGATCCTCGCTATTAACTGCCTCATCTCCGCGTACTCCCTCTCTGTCCTCTTCCTCAAAGGATTCAAAATATCTGATGGCCAGGCTACCATCCAGGCACTCCTAATGACAGGTTGCTTCCTCTTCATATCACGTTCTCAAGTTAGTTTTCATCGTATTGTGTGCAACATTGCTGATAATATAGATACATAAATGGAATCATTTTTATGTTATTTACTTGGAATTGCCCTCCACTTAGTTGCATCTTACAGCTTCTTAATTTTAGGTTTTCCTGAATTGGCTTCGATAACAAGAAATTGTCGTTATCACGAATATTTTACGAAGCGTTATGCATATAATGCTCCAAATACATGGTACTTGAAATGCAGTCAGAATGCGTGATATTATGGGTGGATTAGATGGAATGAAACATTGGATTGAGATGTACAGGTCCTTCTTACTTTTACAACTCCTATGGGCTGGTTGTCCAACCTTTGCCTCAATTGCGCTTAATTCTTAGGTTAGCGGTTTGGTCAAGTTTGCCAGGATTGTTTACAGTGAATATCAATTCCCACTCTCTGGAGTGTACAATGTCCGCGGGGAATTGAACTCTCGTAATTTGATAAACCTAGACCTCTATTACGGCTTTTTCTAAAATGTCTTTACACTATTTTTCGAATTGGTTTCAAGGCGATGATGAAATGATACACTTTATATTACAACTCGAAATAATTAGCTTAATACGTGTAACTAGAATGTCGCCTCTTTGGTTCCTGATTCGAGGAGGGTGGGGGGGGGGAGGGGGGGGGAGGATGGAAAGTAGCGTCAATTATTTGCTCATTACTTTATCCCTATGTAGAATAATTGATGAAAAAAGGCCTTTTCTCAATGATTTTGTTCCATCTCCTCACTCTCAAAGAGTCGCCTCTATTGCTGTTTCCTGTTTTGTTTTTTTCGCGGCAGTATCCACTTTGTTGCAATCTAAAAGTGCATTAGTTAATTAAACGTTGATAGGGAACAAGTTAATTAAGAGAGATGGATAGTTTCACCTCTGATTTTTCACTTATAATAGCCACTGGAGAGGTTGTCGAAGCAGCGACCCTTGCCCAATGTCTTCAATCTCTACACACTTCTTACAGTTGGAGGTCAATTTGCCGTGCACTTTGCAGCTCTTTATGGACTCATGAATGCAGCAGAGGCTCAGATGCCACCAATGTAAGTTTCGTCTCATGTAATTATTCCACATTTTTGTTCTGTTATTTTCAACATCGTTGCGATACTTCTCTTTTATTATTGACAACTGTGAGTGGCGCCTAGACTTTATCACTAAAAAATGCTTATGAAATGCATATAATTTCCTATGACTCGGCTGTGGGCATAGTCAATAAGCTTTTCATTCAGGTCAGCCTTTACCAAAACTTTTTTTGTGCAGTGTAAATAGTATTTGGAGAATCTTTCAAACGAGATCGTTGAATTGTATCAGCTTCTATTCTCATTTGGTTTGGCCAATGGGATTGGCTATTCCATTCACTCGGCCACGCATCGATTGTCATCAACTTTGTGGTTTCTGAACATGCTTCCGTGACTCCCACCCTATTGCTACACTAATGATAACAACGTGGAGCTTCACGGGTATTATGAATATGGATTTTTGAAAGGGTTAAGGATAAAACGAGTCTATACTTCCTTTCTAATCAAGACGATCACTCGAATACGACTGAAACCACTGTGCTATTCAGGCTATAAAATTTTAGGGCTTGTTTTTTTGGGACGCTTTTTGTCTACTAAACTTTAAATTAAAATGAATGGTGGGCTATTAAAGTGGAGCTAATATTGTTGTTTTGAAAAAGTAACCTCGTGTGATATACGGTTGAACTTTTAGTCATTTGGATTGCTCAATCTAAGAAGCAAAAGGGATAATGTGACTTATATTTCTTCCTCTTCGTCTAGCCCTGGAGATGAGTTGATTGATATCCATGCGGAGTTCGAACCTACAGTATTTAATACGGCGGTATATCTCATCTCAACAGCATTGCAAGTAAGTGACTCAACTAGTGAATGCAAGCATGCATTTTAGTAGTGAGTTTGGAGATAATCGTTGTTACCTCCTATTCCCCTTCAAGATTTCCACAATTGCTGTCAACTACGAGGGTCATCCATTTAGAGAATCGCTGTTGGAGAACCGTCCGCTCTTCAATAGCCTGATATTTGCTACTGTGGGAACCGTTGCCTTGGCCTTCGGTTTTCTCAATGACAGCCTTGAATTGGTTCTCATGGATTATCAAGTAAGTAAAAGCTTCCCTACGCTTCCCGTATCAGTTTAACCAATTTGGCCTAAGTGCATGAGGGGTATTTTTGCGATAATGAGATATGAAACTGAGTTTCTTTTCGGTACAGTTATTCAGCTAGTCTTACATAATACATTCACATTTGTTAACTTTTTCCTCATCACACATATCTCCATGTCCTAACGGTATGGACTGCTTGGAAGGAATATAAACCTAACATGGCCATATGACTGGTACTGATATAACCCTATTTTGGTCGAAAACCAGTTTGAAGAGGAGAGAAGACTTATCGCGAAACGGAAACTTCCACTCGTAGTCACGTAATTTACTTGAAGTACTCTGCTTGCATATTATTGGCTCACTAGTTACTTTGCAACGTCTCTGGAGAAAAAGAAATCAGAAGATCGAGCACATAGCCAGCGAATTCTACTCCCGCGATTTCGTCTCGATCCTAAGTAATAATTTTCAGCTCATACGTGAACGTATATATGTTAGAATTTATCTCTCTTAATATCAAATTCAGTGAGTTATAACACCGCCGAGTTCGAAGCGCGCGATAAAAGTATGCGATATAGTTTTTCCTGTTCAAATTTGATTCCACTGTATGATTTCATCTCTTTAGGGGTTAGACGAGTGATTAAGAAGAAATTTTCTATTTTAAAACTTAATAGTGGGATTATTAGTCAATTTTTAGGATGTTCTAGTTAGGTTCATATCACTTTGTTTATACATGCGCTCACTTCCTCTACTTTCAATGTTAGCTTCGCCTGACCTTCTTCCAAGCCATGATTTTCGACTTTGTTGCGGCATGGTCAGTGGATCGTTTGCTCTTCCTCTTACTTGGACGTGTTCGTGTTAAGAAGCTGTGAAGTTGTGAAATTGTCACGACCACAAAATCTGTTGTACTTCTCTTCATTTCCAAACTCAACATGCCACCTATTTTACACCTCAGTCATTTGTGTTTGTGTGTGTTTGCGCTGACTTGTTTCCCCTTCCTCTCTTATCACCCTTTCTCCCACTTATGTGCTTGGAGTTTGAAAATAAAATTGTGACGTACCATGAAACGGCTACCTTTTGTTCCAAGGGAGTTGGTGGCTTTTGAATGATTGGCCTCGATTGTTGTATGTTTCTCCTATTGTGGTGGCATGGACATATCTGATTATTGAGTACTTGTCAATCCAAGTCCCAATGTGCGTGGTGTCTATTCTAGATGAGATGGTCTTAAGTATGGTGCGTGACGAGAAATTCCGTAGAGTTTATTGATGGGCTTCGGTTTACAGCACTCCTTCAGCTTCTCGCTTAAATTTAAACTGCTTAGACTGTAACATAATGGAAAGTTTAACCAACCTAGTGCATTCGCTTGGTAATCTTGGAGTTTGGTAGCTGTAATAAGACATACAATGTCCTTGCTCGCTGCAGTTTATTCGTTTGTCACGGTAGAACAATCGTAACTTCTATCATACTGCTATTTTTTGTTTGTTAGTGGAATAGGGTGCATTGAAATAGCCTGGCCAATTCCCTAAAGTAACTGACTGGACATTGTGTATATGAAGTTACTCATCAATCACGAATTTTCAGTTTTTGAACGTGAAACGATGAGAAATGGACAATTTGAATTGAACAATTGAGTGTGACGAAACTTTTAATGTCCCATCAATATTTTGGACTGTCCTCTTTTCCACATTCCCTACTGGACTGCTCTTATTCACACAGTTCAGATTATGCAAGCTGGTTACTGGAATACATATTCGAGAAAAAGGTTTGTTTAAAATTGTTTTTATAATTATTATCAAACAAATAAAAGTCATAGAATTGGTTGAATATCGTCAAGCTCCATTAGAAGTATGCGCGCAGACTTAGTTGAGTAGGGAGAATTGTGCCTAAATTTGAATTCGGAGGGGACTGGTGGAGAGTGTGAAATATGGACAGTAGCAAACTGACGGAACAAGTGATATGTTCGTATTCACAGCCTTTATTCAAATTGGAGCGTCATTTTCTTTAATCAAAGATCGTCGCTACTTCGCACTTCTTCCAACCTATCCTCTTCTTTATTGCAGTTTCTACCTTTCGCGCATCTGATTGATCCACTGCCCTTTCAAACTTATATGCTTTCTCTACCTTATTTTTGACCACGTTTCATTCATAGTGATGAGTGGTGACTCTAGATAGTCTAGTATAATATTTGAGCTACTCGTCTCATAGAGGATGTTTTTTTACGTTTAATATGTGCAAAATTACTCAACAGGACATAACGCGAGTCTCTTACAATATCCGTTTCAATGTCTTGGCCATCGAAAACAATGATCTATTTCTGAAAAAAAGATTTATTTGCAAATATTTGCTGGCTCACTAATGCATGCTTGTTCACGATCCAACTTGTACTCTAACTTTTACGTCTCATTTTTTTTACATTGGGACATCCTTACCGCATAATAGGCCTTGACTAATTCTTGTCACATTTGTAGCATTTCGCGCACTCACTTTGATATTTCAGTTTCTTATTTGTCATATCAAATCATCATCATCATCATCATCCCCACCACCACCACCATCATCAATCATTTAATAATCATTTAATAATAATAATAATTTGTGGGACACGTCATCGCATGCCTGCACGCCAGGATTGGGAGGTGCGACCGTACAAACAGTGACCAATCATTAACCTCTGTTTGTTTAACCTAATCCGCCATCCTGATCATGATTAAGCTTCCTGTGTGTACACTTTATCCACACTATACTCACTGAATAAAGGTGCTCCGTGCTACACGTCTGTTTCCTTTGTAGCTTAGCTAGTTCTGGGAGTCTAGCTAGATGTTGGAGAATCTGCCATAGAGATTTCTGTGCCAGTCTGGTTTTACTAAGGTGTTTAGCTGGTTCTGGGAGTCTAGCTAGATGTAGGAGGATCTCCCATTGAGATTTCTGAGTCAGTCAGGCTTTACTAGCGTAGCCAGAGATTTCTGAGTTAGTCAGGCTTTACTAGAGTAGCAATATTTCTGAGTCAGTCAGGCTTTACTAGCGTAGCAATCCGTGGAGCTATAGCTTAGCTAGTTCTGGGAGTCTAGCTAGATGTTGGAGAATCTGCCATAGAGATTTCTGTGCCAGTCTGGTTTTACTAGCGTAGCAATCCGCTACAAATTTAAAATGATCATTTAAAATAGGGAGAGTTAGAGAAGGCCATGCTGTGTTCGAGGCAATAATTGGCCAAATGATTTTATAAATAAGTTCATGTAGAGAAAGTGAGGACATAAATACTCCTTTGACATGTAAAAGAGAAAATAAACTTTGACAGACTCATATTTGTTTTTGTTTTTTCTTAAAAAATGAAATTTTAACTCTTATTATACTACCTCTGTTTTAATGCACAGTTTAGTAAGGCTCTGGGTGAGAATATTTCAATTTAACCTCGCCATCTATGCACCCTCAAAAGGAGGGCTAGAGTTCACAATAAAGTCAATTTTGTTTAAATCACACTGATAAATTGACAACAACCGTCCTGTCTGTGTTCGCTGGTCCCTCTTTGCAACTTTATGACATTTCCCAAGGACTTTTTGCTATTGCCACTTGCTTTTCTTTCACGTTAATCTTACAATCTTCCACCCCCCCCCCCCGCTATTATGCTTGTTACCATCCAGATTGGTCAGATTGCTTTCTCCAGTAACTGTGCTATCTCCTTCCACAAAATGCAACAATATGTTTGCCTCCTTCTCCTCCTCCTCCTCCACCTCCTCCAAAATAGGATGTGAGCTGCTGCCATAATTAGCCTTCCCACAGAATATTGTGATGCTGAAATAAATGCCAAAGTATTGCTATTCAATCAAATAAAATTAAAATTTCACTTGATAGAATTAAACCAATCTCATTACCGCTTGAATGTTTCATAAAAGCAACAACATTTTCAATAACTTAAGCCACAAGATGATAAATACGACGAGGCGTAAAGTGGGAGAGCTTTAAACGAAGAGCTTGGAAATTTTTTTATTTCGTGCCACGTCGTGGTCGACAAGATCAGAAGTGGAGAAATTATGCATAGATGGCCGAACCATTGTTGTCTCCCTTGAGCATGGTGGTTAATTTTGATGGGATTGTAAATGGAAATATGTCTTATAAAAAACGGTAATCACAATGGCAGACCAATATCCTTGAATTCCATCTGGCCATGATTCAATTACTTGTATTTACCTCTAATAATCACATTTCTGCCTTAACTTAAGTGCTATCGAAGAACTGCGCCACCACGGCCAACGTCACAGAATATTCTCACGATTTTTACCCAGAATGATCATACCTTGATTTTCACAGTTACTGAATTCAGTTGTTCGAAAATAAGTATGGGATATCAACCAAGTTACTGTTTCCTTAATAATTAAAACGAAGTCTTATGACACCTAATTAATATCTTACCTATATTATTATGGGGTGTGCGATAGACTTACCTTCACGTGGTGCACCCTGGGCAACGTATACTCATGCGGCAAAAAGTCTATTAACTGGCAGTTGATTTCTGACTTCAGACTACCATGATCTATTAACTGGCAGTTGACTTCTCTATGTCATATTCGTTCTATTAACTGGCAGTTGATTTCTGACTTCAGACTACCATCACCCCACTATATCTCATTATTCGACCCCTTCCGCAGTAATCATCTTACCTTTTCTCTGCCTTTGTGTCTGTCTGTCTCTTTTACATCTATGAATTGCTCTTCTTTTCCCCTGTCGAATTTTTTTCACTTTAATGTTCCTCCCTTCTGTGAAGCCCAAAGTCAGCTAAAGGGCTAATGATAACTATCAAAATGGCTGCCATTTGGAAAAAACCTATATTATTATTTGAAAATCAGTTCTTCAACACGTGTTCAGTCTAAAAAAGTGACGTATCCAGCTTTAGACTGACATGAAATTTTTGGCAGTTGATTTGTAAGATTATTTCATTTTCAATTCCACTTACTTGCTGCCCAGCAGAATAGTAATGACTTTCCCTCTATCTCATCTTTGTTATGTTGAAGTTTTAAATTTGCTTTCACAGCCAATGGAAGATCAAAACCGATTGATTAGGGGGCCAATGCTAACTGAACATCGCAGCCAAGACTCTGGCCTTAATCCAGGACGAATAATGAAATTTAAGCGGGGAACTCGAACTACCTACTTAGTAAATTTAGCACAATCCTAGGACCTATAAACTAGTGAATCAAGACTCTTGGTGAACTTGACTCCGGTCTCTGTATTATTTGCCGAATTCACTGCTAATGTTTTATGTATTAATCTAGGTAATATTAAGTTTTCAATTTCAATCTGATCACTGCAAATGGTTTAATAATAGGTTTAGCTGTACTCAATGTAATTATTTTGGTATGTAAGAATTTAGGTTAACTGTAAACTACAACGACAATTATACTAAATTTCAGATTAATTAAATACACTAACTTAAGACGAATGGTTGCCAGAAAGAGTTGAGACGAAAATAATGAAAGTATATCTCCTGTCAACTGAACTGAGACAAGGTTATGCTAACTGTTTAAAAATTAAAGTGGCAGAACATTCGTATAACCGCAGGAAGCTGACCATTATTCAACCTGACATTGTGGGTATAAATTAGATAAAAAAGATTTCTGTTTCGCAACTTGAGATGAGGAATTTCCCCTAAGTGAGGTGCCGACAACTCAAAGATGAAAATTAAATGAAGTAAATCTCCAACGCTCCCCTCTTTTGAATGCTCAAAATCATGTACCGAGGTTTGGGTATTCAATATTGATAGCTTTGCCACTAACAAAACCAAAGTTGTCTGTTTTGCAGCAGGTTATAATAATTGACAATCCGTTTTTGATTGGGGGAGGGTTATTAAACCACTTTCGTTTATAGTTAAATGCTGTCT